TATTCAGCTTTATTGTGTCGGTGAAATTTCTCTGTAAGGTATCTTTGGACGTAGGCTCAGAAGTGACTAGAGAGTCCTTAACTATTTACTTCAGTCTTTAACTATAATGAACTTGCTTCTAAGTCTATATAGCATAACTAGTTCCGAGTTGAAATTATTGTCAGGGATCTACGAGTATGTGAGTTCAGTCGTCAATAATGAAACTAATTAATTAATTGATACATGTGTTGACCAATTTCGTTTTATATATTTAACCTTGTATGAAAAATTTATTATACTTATTAAGCTATTTTAAAAATTCTAAACCGTATTCTAGAAAAGGCACAGGCTATTTATCCTACCAGTACGACTCTGTGCCCCCGGGGGAGAGCTGGAGATACTCTTTCGTGTGGCCCCAACGTGAGGCGACGAGACTGCGAAGTTGCTTATAAACAATGCGCAGAATTACATAGTATCCTATCGCAACAGGGATTCCTAGAAGCGCGAGGTAGAGTGTGTTGGTGTCTGAAGTCACCGCTACAACTGAGGATTTGTTGTTCTCTGTTTTAAGGGGGCTTTCAGCGACATCCTCGGTCGGCTTCATGGGCTCCTTAGGCTTGACTACTTCCATTGGCTTCGCCGGGTTTGATATCTTGACATCCTCGACAGGCCCCGGGTTGTTTGGTGTTATGAGTTCGAGAGATTCCGTGGGATTCGTTGGTAGTTTCGGCGGATTAGGTATCTTAACATCTTCGACAGACACTGGGGTGTCTACTGTGAGTTCGATAGGTTTTGTTGGGTCCACCGGTGGTTTGGGAGTGTCTGGTATCTTCACGTCCTGAATGGGTTCTAGAGGGACAATATGCGAAGGACCCTTATCGACTGAAGGTAGGATGTCGTATTCGGGATTGCTGGGTGACTGTAATGGCTCTAAATGTAGCGGATCAATTGGCATAGGTAGCCAGCCGATAGGATACTCAGTCGGAACGTCCTTAGATTTTCCCAGAAATTCCCCATTGCCATCAAACGCCTCTGCGCGAACCATGCCTGTATAAATGTCTGTTACAAACACTGTCTCAAATCCAGTTCTATTGGTCTGGCCGAGGAACTCGTCGCCAGAAAAGAACTTCCAGATCCTATGCTCTGTGGCACCGTTCCAAGAGACGTGAATCACGGTCATGGTGTTTTCTCCAACACTATAACCGAGGGACTTGATATCTGGTGGTTGTTTCGGCCTACCGACCCAATTCGTGGATTTATAGACTCGGTAGGTGCCAAGCCGGGTCTCATTGAGGAAGCGAGCTTCCATGACGACCTGGTCGTCGTTCGTGTGCTCTGATAGATAGCCGGCATCTGTCCATGACATGAACACGTTGCCATTTGGAAGGCGTTGGAGAGCCCCGCGCTTATCAGCAAGTCTCCTATCCGGCCGCTTATACTCTTGGAGAATCCGAGCTCGTTGCGGTTGGTCCTTGGGTCGGAGTAATTCAACAATCAGGCCCCGACTATAGTTATTGGTGGGCGGCTGGAGATCCAATTTCTGCTCGCCCGAGGCGTTATCTAGGAAACTGATGACATCGCGTTCCCGACTGTGACTGATGTATCGGGCGTGGTGTTGGCGTGAAAATTTCAGTCCGTCTTCGAGGATGTAGTCGCTATGCTTACCCCCCAGTCTCCAAAGGACCCTTCCATCGTCCCCGGCAATTAGCATGATAGTGTCACAGTGGCGGAGAGAGATTAAGTAATTCCCATCGCTGTTCTCATCTACTGAGTTGATGTGCCACGGGTCCCAAAGATAACCATGGGTAAAGTTAGTGAAGGGCACTGGCTCTTTAACGAAATTGGGTCCTATCGAGTAGGCAGGGAGCAGCGTGCTTTCTTCTAGGCTCAAATGATATTCCGCATGCCATTGAAACGTTATGTTGCCAGTTGTCATATCGTACGCCCTAAATCCATTGGAGTCGATCCACACAAGGTCTTCCATGAGACCAAGTGCGTGGCCCGACCATTGCCTAGGTCGTCGTGTAGTCACTAAAGTCGTGTTACGGTGTGCGATGTAGTTGAACTCGTGGATGTTGACATGCGAATTCTCCCCGTCGATGAAAAAGTTGTGAACCATCTCATAGTTTTGGTTGATATATAAACCGGCACCACAATCGGGCACTGGGAACTCCGAGCGCATCACGATGGCCTTCAAAACCGTCTGTCCGCCGAATTCTATCGGGAAGAGGTCGTACATAATTCGTTGGTTGAACTGACATGCTCCGCTCCATACAAGCTCGCCATCTCCATCGTAAATCATGGGTCCCATCTGGCATGGAACCCATTTAACGTCGTCTAATCCATGACCTATAAACTTGAAAGGAGTAACGAACCAATAGCCGGGGGCTATCTGCTCTCTATGGTGATATGTGATGTTGAATTTGGGGCTCATAAGGTCAGGCCGCTAATATAGTGTAAGCTGGCTATTTCGAAGACAAGAAAGAAAAAAAAAAACTTATGATAGAACTGACGGTCACAAACTTGAAGAGGTCATCGCCACCGTCGAGGCCTTCAAAGCCATACACGGTACATATCCAGAGAGACTGAAGTAGCACAGCAAGCTGCGATACCCACATGGCAATACTATGAAAAAGCGACCAGGAATTCCACAACTCCACAGTCTATAGCACCGCCTATACAGAGATCCGAGAGTCAGTTTTAGGGATCCTGGTGCGTAATGAGACGATAAGGAGGCAAGTAAAGGATGGAAACAAAGATGACGACCGGATAAAAGCAATAGCGAATTTAGATTATTACGAGAATGAAGATAGAAATTAGGCCCCTATCTAGAAAAAAACTGAAATCGCCTGAGGCGATTGACACGTCGTCTACGCTGTGTCGCAACCCCGGCCAGGCACTAACAGCTAGTTTTCAATCAAGAAAAGTACTATTTTCAGCTTCTAATCTCTTTTTGGGCCGAGGCAGCCATAGCTAGGCCTAAAACACCTAAGTTCGCTCTCCAGAATTGAATCGCAATGCGAACGCGTTTCGACTTAAGCACCACCTAACCGGCCCCGGTCCTGATCTAGTGTTTCTAGTCACAGCCCTAAATTGCTAAAAATAGACCGGCACCATATAGTTGGGTTCTAGACGTGCAATCAGTTGTCAAGAGATGCGACCACTTTGCACTCGATAGCGCTAAGTAGAAAGCAACCAATAGAGTTACGACGCCTGCTTTCTTGGAGTTGATCACCGCGGACTATACTCCTTCATTTACTAGATCTATTTGGGGAAGATCAAGCTTTATCGTGATAGCATACGATAAGTTAAGCAGTACCCCCAGGTCCTAGACTATGTTTCGCATTAGCAATCACGGTCCTCTTCAGCTGCTGCAGAAGATCGACAAAGTAAGTCGCCGGGCTGGTGGCGGACAAGCACTCAGAGAATCCTTACACTAATACAGGTACATTTGACCAATAGATGCATGTAAGAATTATAATGTGGCGGCTCCTAAGAACATACGCCGTCGCCAAATACTTCGGAATTTTGCCTACCGATGAAACTCATATATGCGCACATCATTCCAGTTTCTATGAGAGGTCGTCCTCTACTCTTTACTCTCCGCTGCACATGAGTTTAGTTTTGCTTCAAATGGTAGCTACAAGTTTCTCATTATATTCTTTCTCCGCTGTCACGGAACAGAACTTCAATTCTAAACTACAACACCGCCAAAAAATAGAGCGTTGTCAAAGGGGGACCTTGACTGCTTGTAGGTCTTATATATAGGACTGTGACATTCACACTGAAATACTCCCTCAAAACTGGCACTTTACTGGGCGAATTACTTGGAGATAAACAATACTTTACTTTACGAAGTATGCAGAGCCCGGAGAATCTCGCTATGGATCTCGAGAGGATTTGTGAAGTTAGAAGCCTTGAGATCAACAGTGTTAGAGGAATACTACATTATTTAAGACGACCTAACTACCCTAATATGGGCTCACATACTAATATTTCGTACGGAACCTTCTTTAGTATCTATATTGAAGCAATAGAGACCCCTTTTAGACACTATTAAAGCACGTTAATTTCTCTGTGACTGGAAAGTGAACGCTATGATATAGGAGCAAACTTCATTCATAAACCCCCACCAGTATTATATGACAAGCTAGTTTGCTATATATTCGGAGATGATCTAAGCAAAGCTTCTCTCACTCTTGTTTCATGGGAGAGAATCAACGAGATATAAATTTTGTTTAATAATGATTCCACAGATAAAGATCCGCTTATTTACAAACATAGAAACCCGAAGGAGATTTTGCATATTCGATTCATTAGATCACCTCAAGGACTATTGTGCTTAGGCATGTTTCAAGCATAAGGAATGATCAGGAGCGAAGAGAAAAACATTCCTAATACATCAATATATATTCCTTGCTACTTACACCCTCCGAGGCGAACCATTTTTCCAACACTTCTCCTGCCAATATTACTCCGCTGCCCTTCATTCATATCATAGGGAGCGCTTGTGGCAACAAAGGATGACCTGGCATGGGTTGTAGAGTTAATATGTAGTCTAACTTTAAGCAATTAGAAGAGAAAAGGCTACAAACTCAGTTGCTCCTGTGCCACAGCGCGTCCTTCTAATACGACAAAAGCTCGTGCAGCCCCTCGCACTGAAAGAATTGTTGTCAGTATTCTTGAGCCGGCCTATTTCCCCCCTCCGAAGTCGATGAGAACAAGCTTTAATGTAAACGCAAGATCAAACTTCACTCTAAACAAATCGTCCACTTTCTCAAGGAATACCGCCAACATCCGACACCAACTAACTAACCACTGAGCCTAGACATTGGACCCGCGATAGAGCCAGCTCCCTCCATCCATCACCACTAGTGGTTGACGGCCTCGTGGCCTAATGGCTAGGGCGCTAGATTTCGGCGATACAACCTACGGTATCTGATTCTCTAGAGATTGTCGGTTCGAGTCCGGCCGAGGTCGATAATTCCCTGATCTCAGGAATTGAAATTAATTAAAACTTTTCCGAATTGGTGTAACGGTTAACATTTGACGTTTTCATTCTTCCCAATGATCTGGTACGAAATGCCGGAACATAATATGGACATGGAAAATACCGTCAGGCTCGGGGTTCGATTCCCCGATTCGGAGATGTCTCATCACAATTTTTTGTCGATTTTAGAAAAAAGAAGAATCCTTTAAGCAGTGGCTTAATATCGATCAATTAGCCCCATCCAGTACAATTGCTCATAACAAACCTTGCTGAAGCTATCCTTGCATGAATGGGATATTAATATGTTAAGCTTTACCTAGTTGCAAGGGGGTATGATGCTAAGTATAAAATCATTAAGTGTTAATGAGTGGATTGAATGTTAAAGCCCCGTGAATAAGGTCTGATGCGTCTAGATTATATAACGGGGTTGTCTCAAAACTTCATTGCACTTTGGCAAACTTGTCTCGCAAGGCTATAGATAACCTATGAAAGCAGTTTTTAATTCTACCCCTTTCCAAATCTACCAAGTAATAACTCAGACTATACAAGATAGTAAGACAAACTTCTCGGATAAAAAGGGCACCGTTTAGAAGAACATAAGACCCGGACGTACAGATGACGTAGACAACAAAAAAAGAAACGAGCGAAGAGAGATAACATAAACAATAATAGTAATCATATTTGATACGCCTGATGTCTTTTTAATAGCAAATACCGCCCCAAGACCATCCGCGTCTCATCCCATACCTAGGTTATGAATGTTGCCTGATGCCTAAAAACGCCGCTCCTGCTCCTTGCCAACGTGCCGTGCCTAAACTGCCCTGATCCTAAACAATACAAGAAACAACAACCACGAAGGGGAAAACCGCTCTTTTCTGCCCGCGATTGATCCACTCATACAAAAAACAGAGCCCATTTTTGCTCGAAGCTACTTGACTTCGTAGGGCCACTGCCCTAAGAACTGGCTGGCCTAGTCAATTTGATAGCGGTGGACTCCGGGCTGACCAGGCCATATCTCCCGATGCACTAGCAAGCCAAAAAGCTGACCTCTAAGACTAGGTTCTGACCTGCGAGTTTGCGACAATCATATATCCTCTCTGAATATAGACCTCCGCTCCGCCCCTGACGTGGGGCTGTCGTGCGTCGCGCCCGGCGCAGCAGCCGCGGCATGCGTATCGATCGGCCTTGGACTGACGCCCCGCAGGCTCAGGTTGCTTGGCTCGGCCGCAGCGTCGTCGAAGGGGTTGTGGTGCGCGGCTTCTCTCGAGGTGGCGGCAGACGGCCGATCGGACGGCGCATTAAGGCCGCCGGAACGCGGGTAAGGGCTGCGCCCTCTATGCTCGTCTGCACCATCACCACCGCCCGCAACGTTCATCTGGTACTCGGAGCCCGAGTACGCGCCATGCCCGTGATGGTGCCCTCGCTCCTCTAGCTCCTGATCCTCGGGATAGTAGGCGCTGGCACCGTAGGCGTCGTGGCCGACGCGCGCGTCCCAAGCATCGTCGGGGTCGAGGCCGCCGAAGCCCCGGCGGGCGGCAGGGCCGCTGGGCTGCTCATATGCGCCGGCGGCGGAGCGAGGGTTCTTGAGCGAGTGGAAGCGATCGCTTATCCACCCGCGGACGCCGCCGGCCCTGGGCTGCGGGGTTCCGAAGGACGACTGGTGAGAGGAGCCTGCGAATGGGATATAGGAGGATAGAGGTGGGGAGGGAAGCTGTAGAGTAGGTATTCACATGTTAGCTCGATCGATCGACGTGGCGAAACGGCAGGGATAGCATGAATGCCGATATGAGGGGCCAGTGTACGTATGATATGGTAGAGTAGGAGAGAGGGAAGGTGTGTTTATCATATATCTAGGCTTGGCTTTGAGAGTGATTGGCAGTTATGAGATGGCTAGATAGGGCGGTGATGTCCGGGGTTGTGAGACAAGCATAGATAGACACGATGATGCGCGAGATAGTAGAGAGTCAGACGTACCCCTAAGCGTCTTGCGCGCAGTTGCGTGAAGACGATCCAGCCGACAGCAGCGACAACGAGTAGGACGACGAGGATGATGAAAAAGGTGCCCACGGGACTGACGGCCATCTTCAGGTGGGCTAGGACGAGACCGAGGGACGAGCGGACGAGCGGGCGGTGGACTCAGGATGGAGAGCTCCGAGAGGTAACGCGGTCACTCACTCGCTCACTCGCTCACCCACTACCACTACCTAGTCTACGTAGGTAGACTACCTACCCACACTACCTTTGATGGAAGAAGGAGGGGGGCGTAGTCGTGGTTGTGGTCGTCTTGTCGATGGCACGACACGGACGGAGGAGCGGACGGCTGGTACGGGAGGGTGTGGAGATGGATGGTACGGTTGATCAGGTCGTTAGGCGCAGGTGCATACTGTACTGTAGAGAGTGCGTGGTGTGGTCGGACGAAAGACCATGTTTATTCATGCATCTGTATACTATAATTTATCGTAGCGTGCTGTAGATAGGTAGTTTAAGTTGGCTCCGGTCTGTTGAAACTTGTGGTTGGAGGCTTAGGGAGGCTGCTACCTAGGTACGTACCTAGCTCAGGGCCCTGCGCTATAAGTTGGGGCTTCCCTTGGTTCTAAGTTTTACCAGCTTTTTTGTAAATACGGATAAATCGGGCTTAGCGTATTTGCTGCTTTTGCTCATGCTCGGCTCACCAAATGCTTAGGAAACGGTTGTCTTTATTAAAACGAGGGTTTGAAACGGTTTGAGATTAGAAAATCAATAAATCAACGACAAATAAGTAAAATGTAGCATTGAACTGCCCGTTTGTTATGTGCAAAAGCTATCTTGGCTTAAAAGCGGCGTGGCTTATGCTAGCATTCAATTACACGTACAGAACATCAATTGGATTACGAAAGCGACCATCAAAGACGGTCAAGCCATCTTAGTAGGAGGCACCTAGGCTCCACTAAGGACACCAATGCACGACACCCGCCCCCATGGCTCTCCTATGACATCTTCTATAGGTACCTACACAGTGGAGAGGTGGCCTGTGCATAGAGATCCCCCAAAAGGGACAGAACAATAGATTTAGATAGTCCTTAGGTGCATCCATGCATCCATGCACGCATTACGCATTACTACATGCGTAGATAGATAGATACACTAAATAAGCACCTACTAACCCAAGCCTCAACGTCCCCTCCAAATGTCTCACCCGCCGACCTATCAGCGCCGCGAGCTAGCTACACATCTTCATCAGCCATCTGTATGTCTCACCAGCAGAGGGGAAATTCTATGCCAAATCTGCCTCGTGACCCTATTTCCCCATATATCCCGCCGGGACTTGCTCTGTACTCCCCGAAGAATGGTAAGGCCGTTTTTTTTGTCATACGAGGGCGACAGCGATGGTGATATTGGGTATGTCATGATCTTGCCGGGAGAGGAGAAAAAAAAAAGGGGCAAAATTGCCTGTGTGGGAATGTGAGCTGAAAGAGGGTTGCATCCGTTAAAACTCGGTGAATGGTTCTATTCTAGTGTAGGGTATTCTGCATCTACCGTCTTCTGTATCTATACTATCCTCTAATTTGCCACGGAGGGATTTCGCCTAACGATCGACTGATGACGCGGAGCCGTGCTCTAACCAAATTACCTCGCATGAGGTATCCTTCTCTGTCTTGCTTACACATATGCCCACGCACACATATTCCAAACCCGGAAGTTATCTGGGTAGTTCGTGTGCCACATTCCTTCAACGCCCGGATGCTACAGCCAACGATATTCATTCATAGCACAGGTCCCAATGCCCCCCTCCTCGGGCGAAGCTCAAGCTGTCCACATATTTGCTCAGCGTGCAGCGGCCGAGCGCGTCAACGTCGCAGTTCGGTAGTGGGATCACTCTGTCGTTGATGAGGACCCGCACGAACTCCTCCTCGATGCCTCCGCACTGCATCTTCTCCACGTACATCCTCGCCGCGAAGGGCACGACCCAGCTAGCCGCGTAGCCTCCGCTCTGTCTCGGGCTCGCCTTAGTCGTGTTCGAGAGGGGTTCCGTGGCGTTGTACAGGCCCATGGCGCCGAACACGCCCGACATGTCGTTGTCGTGGCTAAAGTCGGCGTAGAGTATGCTATCTAGCGGAAAGCTCTTGCGAGAGCTGTCGAGTGTCGAATTCGTGCTCGTCGCGTCAGCTACCGGCTGGCCCGTGAGTCTGGCGATCAGCTCATTGACAAAGCCAACCCCCTGTGTCGGCCCCAGCGGACTGCCGTTGGTGTAGCCGTACCACTTGCCTAGGGTTTGATAGTAGTCGAAACTATTCCACTCATCCTTCTTGAACAGGCCACAGAAGCGAGAAAGATGGCCATCTACGTTTGCGACTGTCTCAAAAGGACATATATCCATGAGGTGGATGATATCAGAATGTGATAAGTTAGCTCCGACTAGATTCTTGTTGACTCGCTCCGCAATAGGCGGTACAAATGTGTCAACCCATATCGCCTGGGCAGCACCCCCCGTGTCTGGACCGTCTCTGAAAGTAGTACAAGTCATCGGGCTAAGCGTATTATTGAACCCATCCTCTTCGGGGAGTATGATTGGTTCATAAGGGTAGGCATCTGGGAAGTTGGCTTTCTTATCCGCCAAGCGCGCCCGATGAAAGCCCTGCGTCCAGTTGAACGCTGAGTCTACTACACGTTGCTGGCCGGCGCTCCTGACGAAGGGTGAGATGTTTCTTGCAAGCTTCTCATACCGCTTGTAGAATTTGATACCAGAGTTGACTAGCTCCTGCTGACCAAACACGGTGAGCGCGTCGGCGCCGAGCGTGTACTTATAATCCTTGATGAACTTATAATGCTTTCCGTACTGGGTCACATTGCTATGGATGTGGTTGATGAGCTTCGCGTACGATAAGCTTTTGCCTGCCGTGGGATCGCGAGCCCCATGACGCGACAATATTTGTGCGAAGGTTACCTCGCACCCCTTTGGAATGTCATTTGGAATATCAGATGGCACTGAGTAGTACGGCGCATATTGACCCCAAGAGTGGGACACGGCGGTTTCACATTGGAAACCCGACTTGACATAATCGCAAGAGTGGCGCTTGCTCGGTCGTCTATGAACAGAGTTAGTCGAGTTGACGATGAATGCTACGTAAAACGAGAATAAGTCTAGACACACGTAAAGTTCACCGCGAAGGTGCCGATA